TGACTCAGTGGATTCCATTGACTCTAGAATGGGAACATGCTGAGGCTTCCTTCATCCCTGATAATGGACTTTGTCTTTGTCCTGTTGAAGACTTAATAAAAATGTCTCTGTAGAACAAGTTTGAATCTGTGTCTTTTCCTCTAGCATATCTTTTTAAAAAAATTTTTTTTGTGTGTGATTATATGATAGTTTACATGGGAGAACATTAGCTTTACATTCAGGAACACAATACAAGAACAAAACAAGAAACTCAATAAAGGGATAGAAACATTAGGTAAAAAACAACCAGAAATTTCAGAGCTTAATAATAAAATAACAAAAATAAATAATTTCATGGAGGAACACAAAAGGAGAATAAAAACAATAGAAGAAAGAGTCAGTGATATAGAAAAGAAAACTTCTGTGATTACTCCATTTGAAGAACAAATAGAAAGAGGAAAGAAAATTGAAGAGCGCATAAAGGTTCTGTGGGACACCATCAAGAGGAACAATATACTCATAATGGGAATTCCAGAAGAAGAACAGAGGAAATAAAGTCTAGGAGAAATTTTTGAAGAAATGATGGTGGAAAACTCCCCAAATATCCTTAAAGATGAAGAGAAAAACACCAAGACACATTATAATTGAACTTTCCAGAAACAAAACTAAAGAAAGAATCTTGAAGGCAGCATGAGATAAGTGAAATACCACCTACAAAGGGGCCCCAATAAGATTAAGTGTTGATTTCTCCCCAGAAACAGTAAGGGCAAGAAGGGAATGGGTTACACATACAGAGTCTTGAAAGAAAAGAACTGTCAACAACAACAAAAAAATCCAGAAAAATTGTCATTCAAAAACGAGGGTGAAATTAGGACATTCCAGATAAAGAAAAATTAAGGGGATTTGTAACTACCAGCCCAGCCCAAGATATATTAAAGGAGTCCTCCAGAAAGAAAATTAACTAGACCAGCCAACCACTCATAATATTGACACTTAGCAATAACCTGAATATATGTTGTTGAACAATAACCAATACATGTTGTTGTTGTGTTGTTAGGTGCCATCGATTCAGTACCGACTCATAGTGACCTTATGCACAGCAGAACGAAACACTGCCACATCCTGGGCTAACCTCACTATTGTTGCCATACTTGAGCCCATTGATGCTGCCACTTGGCCAATCCATCTCACTATGGATCTTTCTCTTTTTCTCTGACCCTCCACCTTACCAAACATGATATCCTGCTCTAGCGACTGGTCCCTCCTGACAATATGTCCAAAGTATGAGAGACTAAGTCTGGCCATCCTGTCCTCCAAGGAGCACTGAGGCTGCACTTCTTCCAACACAGCTCTGTTGGTTCTTTTGGCCGCCCATGGCACTTTCAATATTCTCCTCCGACACCATACCTCGAAAGCATCAATTCTTCTATGGTCTTCCTTATT